CCCAGTGGGGCTGGGTGGCCAGCACCTGTCAGCCAGGCCTCCTGAGACCACCTGGCCCTCTCCCTCCATGGCTGTGCCTGGCCAGGGACCAGGACACAGAGAGCCCTGATGGACTCCTGGCCAGGGGTGCAGCTGGAGTTGGGGTGAAGCAATGGGGTGCCGGTCAGCTGGGGGCAGGGCAGGCTTTCCTGTGTGGCCCTGGGCTGGCCACTGCCCATGGCCTCTGATTTCTCAAGTAGAGGATGGGGCTGATGAGCCTGTTGTGCAGGGCTCACGGGGGTCGGTGAGGCACCAGGAAGGGTGATGCGTGGTGCAGGGCCTGGCCTTCCTCCCAGGGGACAGTGAGGAGGAGGAGGGCAGGCGTAGGATGCTGAGTCAGGACAGCTGTTGTAGGGGAGGGTGTACCCAGCACCCTCACCAGCCAAGGAGCAAACCCAGGGAGGCCCCTTGCTCAAGGTGCCCCCAGTGAGGGTGGGAGCCACAGCATCCAGACAGAGTGCACTTGGGGGAGGGGGTCAGACATGCAGTGCCCCAGCAGAGAGCCCAGGTGTGGGCAGGGGTGGTAAGGACAGGCCCTATGACCCTGACCTTGATCCTGGCAGAAGGGTGCCTTCAAGCTTGCTGCCCGGGAGAAGAATCCCCAGAGAGCGCAGATGAGGCTGCGGAAACAACAGAAGGTGCGTGCGCCCGGGCGAGGGGACTCCTCCGTCACACCGGGCCCGAGCCACAGGAGCAGGGCCTCCACCTCCAGCCCTCCCTGCAGTCCCCACACTGCCTCAGTGGCCTCCACCGGAGAGACCAGAGCCAGGGCCTGGGGCAGCTGGACTCTCAGTGCACTTGGGGCTGAGGTGGCGCTGGGGGCCACATGGCCTGTGTGCCCTTGGACATCCCAGCAGGAGTCCTAGGGGTGCCTGCTGTCCTGGGAGTAGCTGGGAGGATGGAGAATGGGGGAGGCTGCCAAGGTCCTGGATGGCTCCCAGGGGAGACATGAGCCAGAGTCCAGGAGCTGGGGTGGAGGGGTCTCTGGGGCCAGGGCTCGGGGGGCAGCTGAGAGCAGGTGCTCATCACCACCCCCTGTGGCACAGGGAGTCGTCCCCTTTCTTGGCACCTACCTGAAATACCTGGTGATGTTGGACACTGTGATGGGGGACTCTGTGCATGTGAGTGATCCTGGGGCAGGTGGGGTGGGCACGGGTCCCTGAGGCTCAGGGTGGGGGGTGTGGGGAGAGCCTGGACTGCGTTCTTAGCCTTCAGTGCTGCCCCCCCTTCTCCTGAACCTCACAGCCGTCCCTGGGGCTGGGGCTTCACTGCCTCTGCCCTGGGAGTGTCGGGGCCTCCAACCGGGTGCCCCTCCCTTTCCTGGAGGGACAAAGCTACACAAGGTCTTGGCTGAGCCTCCTTGGCCTCCCCTCGGGTAGGCTCCATGGGCAGGAGAGAAATTGGGCCCAGCAAGGTCAGGAAGCACTGACATGGCCAAGCACCCTCGCCCATCCCAGCCTCTGTTTCCCTCCTGTCACCAGGCAGGGGAGAACAGCAGGTGCCTGAGCCTCAGCTGCCAGGTCCCCTCTCCAGAGCTCACCCAGATCCTTGTCCTTGCCTACCCACATCCCCTTGACGGCCTCATGAAGGGGAGGGTCAGGGCTGGGCCCGGCTGGGGGCGGTTCTGATGGACTCTGTCTGCCTTCCAGCAGGCTGATGTCAGCTTCCAGAAACTGAATAAGGTGAGCAGCTGTGGCCTCACTCAGGGCAGGAGGGCACTGGGGGTCACAGGTAGCCCCGGTCGGGACCCCCATGCATCACCCCTGCAGCTTTGCTCTATTAGGAGGGCTGGGTGCACATGAGGGGGAGACCCATCCCTAGGGTGGGTGCAAGAAGAGGACTGGAATCAAGGAGAAGCCCCTGGGGAGGGGCTGTTTGCACCCCCATCGGAGGCCAGGGTGGGGCCTGCATGGGCTGGAGGGGAGGAGGCCTCTTAAGAGGAAACACCCAGAACACCGCAGCCCCTCCCCTACCAGGTCCCCACAGCATTCCCAGCCCTGGCCCTGACAGTGTCCTGTGTGTCCCTCCATCCCCAGGAAATGAAAGTCCTGCAAGAAATCCAACTACTGCAGGTGGCAGCGAGCAAGTATTATTTTAAGCGTGATGAGGAGTTTGGCGTGTGGTTCCGGTCTGTGGAGTTTCTCACTGAGAAGGAGAGGTGAGTGATGGGCAGGAATCAGGTGAAGCCTAGTGTGGGGGTGGGGAGGGCTCTCCCTGCTGTGCAGCTGCAGGGAGCATCGTCCAGGCCCCCTGGTGGGCAGCAGGCCCTGTCCCATGGGCACTGCTGGCCCCAGGACTGCAGCTCCTGGACAGGCCCTGGGAGGGAGGCCTGAGCTGAGGCTCTTGGTGGACTCATGGCTGTGCTCTCTCCATTAGCTACACCCTGTCCCGCCAGCTGGAGCCCCCCGTCAAGAAGCCCACAGAAGCCTCAAGGCCATGAACACCATCGTGATGCCCTCGTGACTGAGTGCTGGAACCTCAGGAGCAGATCTGAGCTCATTGTGAGCCTGGTGCCTGGGACAGTGGCCTCCCTGCTGTGAAGCTGAGGCCTGAGTTGTGTCAGTTTAGTTGCCCCTCTTATGTTTTCTCTTTTCCCCCATTTAACTATAGTCACTCTTAGTAACTCCCTAGTAGTTTTATTAAAGTTAATATAAATATGTTGCACCATGAGTTTCATTCTTCCTCGTCATTGCTTCCCCATAACTGAGGTTGTGAGCGGTGTTCCACCTGTGCAAATGCACCGCGGACATAGACCCCTCTTAGTTGCAGCTCCTGGAGATGCACCTCGCTGGTTGAGGTTCCCTGTGGTCCTTCTCCTAAGAGGATCTGGCAGATCATGTGATGCCTGGTGTAAAAACACTGCCTCACTCCTCCTGTACTTTCTGCCCTGGGTTTAGGACGTTGGGTCCAGTCTGGCCTGGCCTGGCTGTGGTGGGCATATGGGAGGTGAACCAACAAATGGAAGGTCTCTCTCTCTCTCAACTTGCCTTCTAAATAAATAAAAGAGGGGCTGGTGCTGTGACATAGTGGGTAAAGCTGGCACCTGCAGTGCTGGCATCGGGGGTGTGTTCAAGTCCTGGCTGCTCTCCTTCTGATCCAGTGTCTGCTTGGCCTGGGAAGGCAGTGGACAATAGCCCCAGTCCTTGGGTCCCTGCACCCATGTGGGAGACCTGGAAGAAACTCTGGCTTCTGGCATCCAATTAGCCCAGCTCCATCCATTGTGGCCATTTGGGAATGAACCAGCAAATGGAAGACCTCTCTCTCTCTCTGCCTCTACCTTTAGCTTTCAAACAAACAAATCTTTAAAAAATAAAGAAAAAAAAGTATTTTAGATGGAATGTAAAAATACTACCACAATGTCAAAATGATTTTCATGAAAGTTTGTTTTGATGTCTGTATCACTACGGGACACATTAATGGCTAGTATCCCTGAGACATCCAAATGAATGTGTTGCTTGCTTTTCATAGGAACAAGCCGTCTGTTTCTGGAAATAATGGACACACTAAGGGCTGGGCTTCATGGCAGCAGGTGCCCCTTCCTGACACTTGCTTTGTTCTCTCATTCTCCATCTTCTCTGTATTAACTTTTCTATGTCCCCACATTTTCACTGGAACTTGCATCTTCAACCTGCAAGGCGACAGCAGTGCTGCAGGGTCAGCACCTGTGCCTGTGGACGGCACATTTGTCTTCAAGTCCCCTCAGGCAGAGCTGTCTTAGGAAACGTTCCCGACACACCTGGGAGCCACCAGCTCTGCAGAAGCTAGGCACACCTGAGGGGAGTCCCAGGGCCTCAGGCACCAGCGCTGACACACAGTGGGGCCAACCGACACCTGACGCTTGCTGTAAATGATGTCGGAGGGCAGGGACTCTACCTGGCCTTTCTGATTCCAAAGGCTGACTTGAACTTGTCTTCTTGCACTTTGCTGTGTCTCACCTTTGCCACCGTTGAATAATTGCGTAAGCAGTCACCATCAGGCACATGGCAGTGTTTTCCGGTTGGGGCTCTGAGTGCAGGTATTTAAACTCTGGCACAGGTTTTGGTGACACGGCACAGATCTGTCAGGTATGTACATAGTGGAGGAGCTACAGCATAGAAGCTGCATCTCTGCACCCTGGGGGACACTGCCGGGTTCCTGGAACGCTTGTAGCATTGCACACCCACAGCACCAGCTCCCTTGCATGGCCGCGTCCCTGCCAAATGGTGCTGTCATTCCCATTGTGATTGCCTGACTGCTCTGTGCTTTCAGGCTCCATCTGAATGTACCTGATTCCTAAAGAACTTGAACATTGTTGCAGGTGTTGGTCACTGAAGAACCTCTTTTATAGAGACATTAGGGGTGCGTGATGGGGTGCTGTGGGGTAGGCCGTTGCTTGGGACAGCTGCATGCCATATTGGTGTGCTACGCTGCTTCCCATCTGGCTCCCTGCTAGTGCAACCTGAGAGGTAACGGACGCTCGCTCAAGTGCTTGGGTCCCTGCCGCCCACACCGGAGATCTGGATGTATTCTGGGCTCCTGGCTCCTGCCTGGCCCAGCCCTAGTTGCTGCAAGCATATGGGGCCATCAGCAGATAGATCTCTCACTCACCTTGCCTTTCAAACAAATAATCAATTTAATTTATTTTAAACATTGTTGCTGGGGCTGGCATTTCAGCTTAGCAAGGAAAGCTGCCACACCTGCAGTGCCGGCATCCCATATGCGTGCTGGTTTCGATTCCCAGCTGCTCTACTTCCGGTCCAGGTCTCTGCTATGGCCTGAGGAAGCAGTAGAAGATGGCCCAAGTCCTGGGGCCCTGCACCCATGTGGGAGACCCAGAGGAAGCTTCTGGCTTTGGATCGATGCAGCTCCAGCCATTGAGGACAATTGGGGAGTGAACGAGCGGATGTAAGACCTCACTCTCTCTATCTCTGTAACTCTGACTTTCAAGTAAATAAATCAATCTTTAAAACTACACACATTGCTGCTTTTTATTTTTAGGTTTATTTTATTTGCTTGAAAGTTACAGAGAGAGTGAAAGAGATCTTCCATCCATTGGTTTACTCCCCAAATAGCCGCAGCAGCCAGGGCTGGGCCCGGCCAAAGCCAGGAGGATGGAACTGCACCCAGGTTTCCCACGTGGATGCTGGTGTTGCCAGCTGTGACTTTACTTGTTACGCCACAGCGACCTCCCCCGCCCCTAAATAATCTGTCTACAGGCACCTCTTCAGCTGCCTCACAAATACCTTGTATATTTTACCCACCTCAGCTGAGGCCAGAAATGTCAGTGGCCAAGGGAAGGCAGATACTTCTGCTCCAGCACCCTCGGGCCTGGTGGGCTGTGGGGCTGCAGCTTCTCTCAGAGAAGCCCCTGGCCATGCCCCAGCCCTGCAGGCTCTCCAGACACAGGCCGCGGTGTTCCTGCCACTAGGTACCTGGCTGTGAATCACAGCTGGGCGCCCTGACAGTACCTGGGGGCTGGGACTGCCTCCTCTGGGCTCCAGTCCATCACAAAGCCCGACTTGCAGGCAAGACACTCACCGGAGAGCAGAGGGCTTCTCTCCCAGCCAAGTGTCCACAGCCCCAGGGGAAATGACCTTCCTGAGGCCAAGGACATGCTGGGCACACACGGGTCTGGCCGGGATGTCACAGAGTGGACGTCACAGAGGGCCCATCTTCTGCATGGCGATGCCCCCATCCTGGCTGACTAGAAACCAAGGGCCTCGCCAGTTCTCTGAGGTCTGACCGCAGTGTTGGACCATGCTTCCTGTTCCTAGGCCAGTGGGTCCATTGACACAGCACTCACTGTGGCTACAAAGCCTTGTAACTGATTGGGTGTGAGACAGAGGCCTCTTGGTTTGAAGTGACGGGGTGACATGGAGCACTGGGCACCTCCACCCAGCCTGCCCAGCGGTGGGCCAGACACAGGAACACCCAGCTGATCCTGGCACCCCAGCTCAGCTGCACAGCCCCCAGGCCTTCTCACTGGAGCGGAGCTGACACAGCTGCCTCCCGGAGCAGCAGCACCAGCTCCTGGTGCTCAGCCTCACTGCCTGTGGCTGGCCATGCCTGGCCCACAGCCCCCTGCAGGGGACAGCAGCCCAGGAGGCAGGCCCTGCAGTCTGAATCCCGCTCCAACAGGCTCAGGAGGGAGGGCAGCAGTGCAGGTGTGGGCAGATGTGTGCACTGTACCTGTGCCCTGTGACTGCGGTATAGACAAGTTCATATGGGAACAGTGACTTACGTCTCTCTGAGAAGGGAAACCAGGAGACAGACTCACAGAGCACCACAGCCAGGAACAGCCTCACCTGCCAGGAAGGCCCTGGAAGCTGGGGTGGAATCTCCCCTACAGCCCCCCAGGAGGGTCCAGCCTGGCTGACAGGTTGCCCCCAGACCTGCAGCCTTGGGAATTGTAACCGGCATTCCTGCTGCACCAACCCACCCAAGGTGCAGAGCCCACTGAGTTATGATGCTGAAGCAGGCAGAGCAGGATTTCAGACAAGCCTCAGCTGGGGGCCAGGCACCCCCAGGCCAATGCCCTCACTGGGGGCTCAGCTCCTGGACATGGAGGGCAAGGAGGGCTTTAAGTCCTTTCAAACAACCACAGCTCAGCTTCCAACTCAAATGTTTACCAAGGGCATCTGGGCAGAGAAAGGGGCATTCTGGGGCAGGTACACAATTAAAAAGGAGAGCTTTGCCTTCCTGGGGAGCCCCACTCCCCCGCACACATCCAAAGGGACCATGGCGGTTTCCCAGCCCTGAGCACCCTGGAGCTCCCACCATAGGGCTCCCCACCCCACCCCCACCATCCGCCTTTCAGCTGCCTTGGAGACAGGATGTGCTGTGCACCGGGTCCACTCCCCACCCAACCTGTTGGGCAGGGACAGCAGCCAGCCTGGACGCTGGGGTCCGTGCTCAGGGCAAGATGGGAATGTTAGTGCTGAGGACTGGTTGGTGACCCAGTGGTCCCAGGATGGAGACCAGCCCTCTGCCAGCTGGGGCAACCGTGTGCAGGGGCCTCTGAGATGGAGCAAGCACTGGTGGGGCTACTGTGGCAGCAGGTGGGACTGGACATGGCCCAGGCGCAGGGGGCAGCAGGAGCGTGGGGCTGGGCGGTAGCCCTCAGTAGGAGTTTAGGGCCTGCTTGGAGCGCCTCTTCATGTGCACGCGCTCGTGGTGGAGGAGGTCCGAGTTCTGCCCAAAGCTTTTGATGCAGTAGCGGCACTGGAAGGGCCACATGGCATCCTTTTGGTGTGTGTGGCCGCGGTGCCAGGCCAGTGGCTCCCGGCGCTGGAAGCCCAGTCCCTCCTCGCTCTGCTTCTCCGGCTCCAGTCTGCTGGGCTGCCGGTGGATCCGCCGGTGGGAGAGCAGGTGGGAGTTGAGGCGGAAGCTCCTCTCACAGGAGCCGCACCTGTAGGGCTTCTGGGCCTCGTGGGCCTCCAGGTGGCCGTCCAGGTCCTCGCCTTCACTGAACAGCTTCCCACACACAGGGCACACGTGTGGCTTCTCCCGGTCCCAGCGGCTACGCAGGTGCCGTACAAAGTTGACCCTCCAGCAGAAGGCCTTCCCACACGCGGGGCACACGTAGGCTTTCCTGGAGGCGGGCACCTCGCCTGCCATCTCCTCACTGCCCTGGCAGGGCTGCGGCCCATGGGGGCTGTGCTGGGAGTCCTCGTCCCCAGAGCTGGACAACACGATCTCGATGGTCACCTCCTCCTCCTCCTCCTGCAGGCCGTTCTCCAGGATCTGTGGGCCGCCTCCAGCTACAGGAAACCAAGCTGGTCAGGGGTGCCGCCAGCCCCTGAGAACCCTATTCAGAAGGCCTGACTCAAAGCCCAGAGACACCTGTTCTTGCAGTGCTCCTGGGTGATCTCGGTCCTGGCTGGCCCTGCAGGGACCACAGGTAGAGCATCGAAGCAGCTGTCACGGCCCAGATGCTGTGCCCTTTTCTCCTCCCTCTCTGGCCACGGAGGCCCCTCCAAGCTCAGGGCCTGCACTTCTCTGTGTAGGGTGGTAACCATGGGCACACCGTATACACCACCTTCCTTCCCCAGTGGGAGGTCCCAGGGGTCCAGGAAGGTGTCTGACTCTGAGCAAAGCCCAGCCTCCCATCGCAGCCCAGTCACAGCCCACTTGCCCCATCACAGCCCCCACTGCAGCCCAGTCACAGCCCACTTGCACATCACAGCCCATCATTCTCCCATCCCACCTGGTCACAGCCCAGCAGCCATGTGGTTGTATGGTCATGCCACACACATGTGTGTGTGCATGCACCATGCATGGGTGCAACTCCGTGCTCCAAGCCCTGCTGTACCTGGCTGGGTGCTTGGAGGGAGCGCCATTTGCTGGAAGGCCTGGGACTCCAGCACCTGCAGCTCATCCCGTTTCCTTCTTTCTTCCACCTCGAACAGCTGGAGGGCTGGGAGGTCTTTGCAGGGGAAAGGGAAAATCGTGTGTCTGGCACTGGGGGTGCGCCAGGGGCCAGGCTGTGAGCTGAGGGCAGCCCCGGGAGCCACTCAGTGTCACTGAATGAGTGAGCTTGAAGGCAGAAAGGGCCAGCACCACGAGGACGGGTCTAGAGCCAGCAAGAGGGGCCGGCACTGAGGCACAGAAGGTTTTTGCAAGGCCATCGTGCTGGCATGCCTTATGAGCACTGGCTGCAGTGCTGGCTGCTCCACTCCCATCCAGCTCCCTATAACATAGCCACTGAAAGCAGCGGAGTAGGGCCCAGGTGCTTGGGCCCCTGGCATCCACGTGGCAGACCTGGGTGGAGTTCCAGGCTCCTGGTTTCAGCCTGGTCCATCCCTGGTTAGTGCAGTCCTTTGGGGAGTGAACCAGCTGATGGAACATCCTCCTCTCTTTCTGTCAACCACTGCCTTTCTTTCTTTCTTCCTTTTTTAAAAGCTTTATTTTTTATTTGAAAGGCAGAGTTACAAAGGGGGAGAGTCAGGGAGCTCTTCCATCTGCTGGTCACTCCCCAATTGTCCAAGAGGCTCAGATTGTGCCAGGCAGAAGCCAGGAGCTTCTTCAGGGTCTCCCACGTGGGTGCAGGGGCCCAAGCACCCACATCATCTTCCACTGCTTTCCCAGGCCATTAGCAGCGAGCTGCATCAGAAGTGGAGCAGCTGGAACGTGTTGCAGGCAGTGGCTTTACCTGTTTTACCTCAAGGACAGCCCCAAAACTCTCTCTTTCAAAAGAATGAATAAATAAGTATAACTGTGCAAAAATAAAGCCTTTGAAAGGATCAGTACTGACGCTGGTCTGCACTTCTCCCTCTGGCAGGAGTGGAGCAGGCCCTCCCCTGCCCTGGGGTGCTTTCCCTACAAGCCTATGAATACCCAGCTGGACTGGTGGGAGGTGGTGGGGACTTGCGGTGGCTGGGACGGGGGCGACCACAGGGCGAGGATGGAAAGCGTGGGGTGGGACACCCGGCAGCGTGGCTGCTGGCCTCAGAGCTGATGCAGGCAGGCGTGGGCACCCAAGCCCACGTGCTCCGGGGCATCTTTGAGTCCCATCGACAGGGGGCGCTGATGCTGAGGATCCCGCACATGCTGTCCCCCAAGGTGCAGACTTCCCAGCCCCAGCACTGCAGGCCCCAGGCACAGAGGGACTACCGGAGTCCTAGCACGCACCAGGCCTAGGGTGGGTACCTGAGAGACACCTGGCCCAGTGTGGCTCAGTTAAAATGAGGGACAGGGACAGGGCAGGGCATTAGTACCCACATAACGACAGGAACAGGGAGAGAGCAGGCACCAGTACCCAGACAGCGACAGGGACAGGGCAGGGCACCAGTACCCAGACAGCGACAGGGCAGGGCAGGGCACCAGTACCCAGACAGCGACAGGGACAGGGCAGGGCACCAGTACCCAGACAGCGACAGGGACAGGGCAGGGCACCAGTACCCAGACAGCGACAGGGACAGGGCAGGGCACCAGTACCCAGACAGCGACAGGGACAGGGCAGGGCACCAGTACCCAGACAGCGACAGGGACAGGGAGAAAGCAGGACAGCAGTACCCAGACAATGACAGGGACAGGGCAGGACAGCAGTACCCAGACAGCGACAGGGACAGGGCAGGGCACCAGTACCCAGACAACAACAGGGACAGGGCAGGACAGCAGTACCCAGACAGCAACAGGGACAGGGAGAGAGTAGGACAGCAGTACCCAGAGAGCAACAGGGACAGGGAGAGAGTAGGACAGCAGTACCCAGAGAGCAACAGGGACAGGGAGAGAGTAGGACAGCAGTACCCAGAGAGCAACAGGGACAGGGCAGAGCATCAGTACCCAGACAATGCATGAGGGCTGCTCAGGAAGCCCAGAAACAGCCTGGCTCTGCCCCCTTGCCCACCCAGTTCTGGAACCTTCACTCACCAGTCGGGGAGGCCTGGGGTGCTTCCTTCCCCTGCAGCTCCAGTAGCTCTGGCAGCAGCTCGCGCTCCTCTCCCTGGAAGGGGCCCGGCAGGGCGGCTGGGTCATCTGCTCCAGGAGAAGGCAAGGCACCCCACTGAGCGGCTCCCAAAGTGGCCAGCGCAGCCAGGCGCAGAGCCCAAGAAGCCGAGCGGAATGGGGGGAGGAGTGTGGTGGGCAGGAACCCCTAAGGGGCAGGGTCGAGGCCTTTAAGGCCGGCAGGTGTGAAGCCAGAAGCAGACAGGATGCTGGGCCTCTGGTGACAGACAGCCTGGGAAGCCTGAGCCACAGGTGTCAAAATGGCAGGCAGGGGCCAGGGCGACATTTGCTTTGGGCCACCAGGCACAGACCTGAATACACCTCCAGTCTCCTGCTGTTACAGGGGGGAGCTCCTGGCAGGGACCCCAGCCCCCAATCTGGTGCACAGTCGCACTCGGGAGGGAGACCCTGGCAGGGACCCCAGGCCGCCATCCAGGAGCCGGGTCTTACTTGGGGTCACGGAGACTCCGCAGTCCTCCCCAATGATGAACTCTCCATAGAAGCCAGTCTGGCCGGGGTCCAGGAGGGACCAGTCCTCTTCAGAGAAGCACAGGATCATGTCCTTGAAGGGAGAAGCCCGGCTCTGACACCAGAGGCCAGGCCTGGGTCAGGGGCTGACAGCACACTGTGGACAGACGCGGAACCAGGGACACGAGAAGCCGGGCATCGTCTGGTGAAGGCCTGCATCTCAGCTCAGGGACCTCCTGGGGCAGAAGGTTCTGGTCCCGCCTCCTGGGACCTCACACAGGGGTCAGGGGTTCATTCATGAAACCTGGGCACAGACGTCCCCACCCTGGCGCTCCAGCCCCGGCAGCCCAGGCCCACGTCCTCCTTGCAGGCTAGCACGGTCCTTGCATCCCAGCAGTCCCTGTCTGGTGCAGGTGGCACCTGGGTCAGGTGTGGCTCCAGGTGTGACTGTGGAGACAACTGCTCCTGCTGGGAGTGGGATCAGGCACATTCCAAAAGGGAGAGATGCGGGACAGGAGGGACAGGTCCCAGACAAGTCCCAACCTGCAGGGTGGGACAGCAGCCCTCTCTGGGCCTGCATCTGGGCCTCCAAGGCTCTGTGGCTTTGGCAGTCCTGGGGATCCAAGCACATCGGGATGAGAGTCCCTGTCCCAGGCCCTGCTTCAGGATCTGAGTCAGTGCACCTGGTCTCCAGCCTGCTCTGAAACAGTTCAGAAATGGATGCCCATTCACACGCACGATGGGGCCGGGTCTGAGGGAGGGTCTTCCCAAACACGGCAGGACCCTCACCCCAGAGTGCTGGTGTCAGGAGCTGGGACCCTCGCCCCAGAGTGCTGGTGTCAGGAGCTGGGACCCTCACCCCACAGTGGGAGTCAGGAGCTGGGACCCTCACCCCAGAGTGCTGGTGTCAGGAGCTGGGACCCTCACCCCACAGCGGGAGTCAGGAGCTGGGACCCTCACCCCACAGTAAGAGTCAGGAGCTGGGACTTTTGTGACGTGATACATCATGAAGTGGAGCTCCCATAATAAATGGGACCCAGGAGAGGACCCTGCCTATGAGCGGGAAACGGCTGCCCCGTCCTCTGCCCCCCAGCCTCCCCACTCTCTTCTCGGATTTCCCCAGCAGCAGAGCTGGGAGGAGTGAGCTCCAGGGGCCAGAAGCTGCCCTGTGGCAGAGCTGAGGGGACCAGGTCATCCGGGGACAGACACTTGTGTGCAAGCCGTGATAGGAATGTAGGACCACGCAGTGGACGTGGTGCCCGAGAAGCCAGATAGGATGGTCTGGGAAAGTTAAACCTGGACACAGCCGAGAATGCATGGGCAGGTGCAGTGTGTGAGTGACACCAGGGGTGGACTTAGGGCAAAAGGAAGAGCAGGGAGCCGTGGGCGGACGTGCAGGAAATGCAGGTGCAGTCTGGGGAGGGGGCTGCGGAGGACACCGTCCACTGGGCTCTCGCTCTGGGAACTGCAGAGACCACGAGCAATCAGAGGGGAGGGGCCGGGGGGGACACGGGGGGCTCTCAGGGCAGCAGCTGTGCTGGTGGACTCAGGCAGACAGATCTGTCCAGACCCATGGGGTCCAACCCTCAGCTGAACTGTGGACTCTGGGGGACGCTGGTGCTGGCAGCTGTGACACTCACACCTCTCCTGCTGTGGGGAGCAACTGTGTGCTGGGACATCTACACGCTTCCTGCTCCAATTTGCTGTGAACCCAGAGACAAGGAAAGAACCAAACAGGAAGCCGATGTCAGGGCACACCTTTCTGGGTCTCTCTGCCCTGTGGCTGTCTGCACCCCCATCTGTGCTCTGCCCTCGCAGTCAACACCCAGGACACTCCCCTCTCCCACTGCAGGGCCACAGACAGCAGCTCCAGTGTCCCGTCACGCAGGGCCACACACACCCGTGCTTGGAGCCACACAGAACACTCACCGGGCAGGTGGCTCTCAGCTACCTTCCTCTCATGGAGCAGGGGGCTGGAGATGGAGCAGGTGAGACCCCCCATGCTCCTGTCTGGGACGGCCACTCTGGACAGCACAGCCAAGAGGCCGGTGGTGGCTGAGGCTGAGAAACGGGTCACAGCCGGCACCGCATACCCCCTGAAGTCTCTCCACTCCACGTGAGGCTCTGGGTACCAGCCTGCTGAGGTGCACTCGGCTCGGATGCCCTTGTCCAGGTCCTCGGTCACATGGATTCTGGGCTCCAAGCCCAGCCCTGGGGGAGACACAGAGGCCTCAGTCCAGGGCTGCTGCCAATGCCAGACGTGTTATGAGGGTTCCAGAGGTGCTTGCATAGTCTCACCAATCACTACATACCACAGAGCAGAAAAGAGTCTTGGAGAGTCAGTGTGAGTTTCCAGTGTTGCAAGTCGGGAAGGGTGGGGAACAGGAAGGAGCCCAGGCAGGGCTGACTGCAGAGCGGAATGCCCCCTCCACGTCCCCAGCTCCTCTGCCCGCCCTGGCCTGTCCCTGTCTCCCTTCCTGTCTCCCCTTCCCCTCTGCACTCTGTCTCCCCTCCCTCTCCCCAGCTGGTCCTCTCCTTCCCTGGCTCCCTGCCTTCTGCCTTTCCCAGTAATGGCAGGAAGGCAGGCTGCACCTCCTGGGACACAGCGTGGGCAGGTGGGGGTGTGAGGACGTGGGGACGCTCCCACACTGCGCACTGTGGATGGTAGCCCAAGCCTGGAGCTGGGACCGGGAACTTGGGAGAGGTGCTCCCAGGGAGGCGGAGGCTGAGGCAGCCCTCACCTGCCACCTGCAGCGCCAGGGTGGTCTCGCTGTGAGGCTCCCCGTCCCTGAAGAGGCAGGGGTAGGTCCCGTTGTCATACACGGTGACGTTGTGAATCCCCAGCACAGCTTCGCCCCTGGCCAGGTGGTCGCCCAGGAAAGTCGTCCTCCCCCGGGACTCTGCCATCTGCTCTCTGGACACCTGTGCTCCACGCCTATGCAGGTACACAGCGGGCGAGGGCCGGCTCCTGTACCACCTCAGCTCCATGTCCTCCATGCTGAGGTTGAGGGACAGTCTGCAGGGCAGCAATGCGTCTTCCCCACGGTGGCCAGGATGGGGCCGTCTGGCCCAAGGGCCTTGAAATCGGCTCTCCCTTGGGAGGCAGGAGCGAAGGGCGAGGTGAGGCATGGGTCAGGGAGTTGGTGCCCACCCGCCTGTCTCCCAGGCCACCCAGCTGGGCTCCCCGGGCCCCTCTGTGGGGCAGACTCTCACCTTCCCCAGCCGGCAGGAGCTGCAGGGCGAGGAGGGAGATGGTGCAGCTGTGCAGGAAGACACCCCCACTGCCTGCCTTTGCCATGGCCCTGGGCAGAGGGCTCTGAGGTGCCCGCCTGGCCGGGGGAGGGGGGAGGAGCACTGTCAGGAGCTGATGGAAGGAAGAGTCACCTCTCATGGCCCTGACAGGGCTCAGCCTTGCATCCTTCCACCGCGGGGGCCCCTCTCACCTCCTCACCGAGATTGGAACTGCGTCCAGAGCCCCCACACCCTACTTCCTTGTCTCCTCCCTGGAGGACAGGTACAGGAGCCCCCTTCCCTGTTGTCTCCCACGGGGACAGCAGCCCCCCCTTCCCTGTCATCTCCCTGGGGGCCAGGAGCCCCCCTTCCCTGTCATCTCCCTGGGGAACAGGAGCCCCCCTTCCCTGTCATCTCCCTGGGGGACAGGAGCCCCCCTTCCCTGTCATCTCCCTGGGGGACAGGATCCCCCCTTCCCTGTTGTCTCCCTGGGGACGGGGGCAGGAGGTTCCTGAGCCCTGGCTGGCAAGTCGCCATACTCCAGGCCTCTGGTCATTAGGGTGCTCAGTGGAGCCACACACTCTGTGGCTGCAGGAAAGTCTTTGGGGGTTCCCCTGGGGGCTCCCTGTCCCTCAAGGCTGAGGAGAGAGCAGAGCAGAGGCCCCACAGAGCCAGGGTAAAAGAAATCCTCACCTAGTGGTGATCCGCTGCCAGCTTCCAGGAAATCTGGTGATTCCAGGAGAGTCTTGCATTTGCCGGAGGCGGGGGGGCAGTCCCTGGGAGCAGCCAAGCTCCAGGCTTCCACTGAATCCTCCTGCTACGTTTATTTTTCTGTTTTGCAAAAATAACCAGCTGTGCTGTTTTGGCAGTTGCAACACACACACACACACACACACACACACACATACGTGCTTCCTGGGGGTGTGGTCAGCAGAAGTGGACGATGCTGGCACCAGGAGATAAGGGCAGAGGCCCTGGCCAGGTGAGGTGACACGAGGATGGCCACCAGGGCCAGCTTTGGCCTCCACCAGGAACCTAAGAAGGACAGGGGACTTTCCACATGGGTCCCAGCCAAGGGCAGAAGCTGGGGAACTCAGATAAAGTCCCTTGCTTATCTAGGACCTGCAGACCTGTCCAGTTCCTTGGGGAAAGTTGTTTACCATGGTGTTGAAATCCGCCCAATTCTGGCACTGCCTGCGGAGACTCCAGGGATGGTGAAATTCAGGCCACCTCCTTCCTGTCCCCTCCCTGTCCCTGTGGCTGTGGGGTCCTTGAGGGAAGCCTCCCCGGGGCTGCTTCTGGGGTCGGATCTCCCACAGCCAAGTGTCAAG